AAAAAAATAAATTCAGCTTTCATGTTCCCACACACATAACCCAATTATTATATTGGGCTTTCATTATTATAAGTTAGGAATTAAGAGCTGAAAGTTTTAGTGACCCAGTAGGAAGTTCACTACTTGTACAAACCAATTGTTCGATTCGATGCCTTTAGGTTTTGGAGTTTTAATTTAAAAAAGTGTTAGTGCAATTAGGAGTGGATTATTTATATTTTAATTGTAGATTATTGTTGTATTTACATATGTGGGATTTACACAGTATGACTTGTATCGAGCCACTTATACCAACACATGACACGTTGGTAGTGTGTATGAGAAACCCTCTCCCATTGTAGTTTAGCTATCACTTATATTCAATATTTTAAAAAAAAAATTTGAGAGATGAAGATCACCAATTTATCAAATCAAGCCATACACGTAATTAAGGGATCTGTGGTGGCTTGTCCGTGGCCTGCACTTTTAGGCCACACCGCGTCTGTCTGTCCTTATTTGGGGTCAATGGCCCTAAATGGCGACGATGAGTAAACTGCCCTTTTCCGGCACACACACACATATTATACACCGGGCTGTTTAATGTTGACTTCGTTGAAAGAAAATGACGTATAGCTGATCAGCTTAATTACCAAAAGACCAAAAACAATAACATCTCATGCCTATTCATACCTCATATTTTCTCTATTGTTATTTGTCTATAAAGTTCTCCTCCATTTCATCTCGCTATAACCTCATTCTCTACAATCTTCTTTGCAAACTGCACTTGCGGGGTTTCTCTCTCTCTCTCTCTCTCTCTCTCTGCGCGCGTGTTAACCATACATATATATACAACATACACACACATATATATATCTGAGCTAGCTAGCTAGCTGGCCAACCCCACCTCTCTTTCATTCTTAGCTATATAACCAAACTCTACAATAAGGTTTCTGCAGCTTCTTCTTTGTAAACTGCAAACTGCACGTACGGGTTTTCTCTCTCTCTCTCTCTCTCTCTACCTCTCTGTCTGTCTCTATCTCACACAAATATCCGTACACAGTACTATATATACAACAATTGAGACATTTACAAAATATGGAAAGCTAGGGGATCCTATGATTGATCTGCGCTATACATAAGATTTTCTTGAATATGCACTTATATATGTATATATATATATTCACCTAGCTACTTAGCACATCTTTATGGTGTATTGTTGCTTATACATTGCATGTGCATGAAACAGGTTCTTACTGAGAAGATATATATATACCTTGATATATAATTAATAAGAAAGAGATATTGAAGAATGTGGAAGCTTAAGGTTGCAGATGGAGGGAATGACCCTTACATCTACAGCACAAACGACTTTGTGGGGAGGCAGATATTTGAGTTTGATCCCGAGGCAGGAACTCCCGAAGAGCGAGCTGAGGTGGAAGAAGCTCGTCTTAATTTTTACAATAATCGCTATGAGGTCAAGCCTAGCAGTGACCTCCTATGGCGTATGCAGGTATTTATCCATTTAATTTCATTAGTACTCGGTAATATTCTCTTATTACATCTCAGACCAAAACGAAACTCTGATTGCAGTATTCAAAGCTAGGATAAGCTTCTTTCGCCTATGATAGGTTTGAGTTTAGCAAGAGAACATGAGTGTAAATTATAAATATTGGCGTATGTCGTCAAACTGTAAATTTGAGTTTAGCAACAGAACATGAGTGTATGTGGGTATAAAATATGATAGGTTTGTCTTGGTTTTTATTATTATAAAAATCTAAGGGGTTCCAAACTTGATATCATATCTTACCAAAAATAAATAAATAAATAAAAATTCAACTAGACAGATAGTTAGCTTTGAACCTGTCAACTTTTGAATTCCTTTTCTTGTTTTTAGCACTCATAAGTTTGTTCTATAATCAGCATAATGAATTAACTTACTTTTTCTCTAATACCAATCATAATCCTCTGTTCACTACACTGCAGTTCCTAAAAGAGAAGAACTTCAAGCAGACAATTCCCCCAGTAAAGGTTGAGGATGGCGAGGAAATCACATATGAAAAGGCAACAGCCTCACTGAGAAGATCTGTTAACTTCTTTTCAGCCTTGCAGGCAAGTGATGGCCATTGGCCTGCTGAAAATGCTGGCCCATTGTTCTTCCTTCCTCCTTTGGTGAGTATATAATTTCTAATTTCCTTATAATTACAGTTATTTATTAGACACTTAGTTAGATTTTTTGCTAAAATTTGAATGTTTTGGAGCTTTTTACTAATTTACCTTTTTAATTCCTTTTTTTTTTTTTTGCAGAGTAAACTGCTGTTTAATGTTGACTTCGTTGAAAGAAAATGACGTATAGCTGATCAGCTTAATTACCAAAAGACCAAAAACAATAACATCTCATGCCTATTCATACCTCATATTTTCTCTATTGTTATTTGTCTATAAATTTCTCCTCCATTTCATCTCGCTATAACCTCATTCTCTACAATCTTCTTTGCAAACTGCACTTGCGGGGTTTCTCTCTCTCTCTCTCTCTATTTGGTATATTTGTTCACACAAATGGGATCAAATTTTAAATTTAATTTCCACTCCTTGTGCGTATATAAAGAATGGTAATGTATTTTTAGAATCAAGATGGTGGTTGGGGATTACATATTGAAGGCCACAGCACCATGTTCTGCACAGCCCTGAGCTACATTTGTATGCGCATTCTCGGAGAAGGACCTGATGGGGGCCAGGACAATGCTTGTGCCAGAGCAAGGAAGTGGATTCTTGATCATGGTAGTGTCACACACATGCCCTCTTGGGGAAAGACTTGGCTTTCGGTACGTATGGCCTTGTTGAATAATGAATGGAAAAAATATGAGTACTAGTTGCATTTATTAGGCTTCAATTAATATGAGAATTTTGCTTTTGTTTTAGATACTTGGCGTGTTTGAGTGGTCTGGAAGCAACCCAATGCCGCCGGAGTTTTGGATGCTGCCTTCATTTCTTCCTATGCATCCAGGTTAGCACACCTGCAGATTGAAGAACTCTGCAAACTCAAGGAGTGTCCTTGTGATTTAGTTAGAAGTTTTCATTTTTAACATCTTTTATCTTGAAAATGCAGCAAAAATGTGGTGCTATTGTAGGATGGTTTACATGCCTATGTCATATTTATATGGGAAGAGGTTTGTTGGCCCAATCACACCTCTCATTCTGCAATTAAGGGAAGAACTATATGCTCAACCTTACGATGAAATTAATTGGAAGGGAGTGCGCCATCTTTGCGCGAAAGTGAGTTTAACTTAAATTAAATTAGTTAATCAGTTTATGTTTCTTGTTTAAGTACAGAACCTGATTACAGGTATTTAATTGCAGGAGGATATCTACTACCCACACCCTTGGATACAGGACATCATGTGGGATAGTCTCTACATATGTACAGAGCCTCTTCTTACTCGCTGGCCGTTTAACAAGTTGGTCAGAGAAAAAGCTCTTCAAGTAACAATGAAGCATATTCATTATGAAGATGAAAACAGCAGATATATTACCATTGGATGTGTGGAAAAGGTAATGTGGATAAGGACACTGATATACCTAGTAGGACTCTGGAGAAAAATATTATCTTTTCAGATTCTCATCATGTTATTTGCATTACTTGAACAGGTGTTATGTATGCTTGCTTGTTGGGCTGAAGATCCAAATGGAGACTATTTTAAGAAGCATCTTGCTAGGATCCCAGATTATTTATGGGTTGCTGAAGATGGGATGAAGATGCAGGTTAGTACACATAGCATCCCAGATTGTTTATGCATATGATTTTAAGGCAGAGTTTTGCTCCTTTGGTAATTAATTCAAAGTGTAACTCACCTAAAAGAAGAGGAAAAACCTTAGAAGTTGACATATTTATTGTTTGATTGATATATGCAGAGTTTTGGAAGTCAGCAGTGGGATACTGGTTTTGCCATTCAAGCTTTGCTTGCTAGCAATCTCGCTGATGAAATTGGACCTACGCTCGCTAGAGGACATGACTTCATCAAGAAATCTCAGGTTCAATTTTAACTATAGTTTACATATGAATGTGTATCCGTTAATTTGTTCAGACTAATGAATCCTTTGCGCTCAAACTGTTCAGGTCAAGGACAATCCATCTGGTGACTTCAGAAGCATGCACCGCCACATTTCTAAAGGATCATGGACTTTCTCAGATCAAGACCATGGATGGCAAGTTTCTGATTGCACCGCAGAGGGTTTAAAGGTAACTAAATTTTCTCAAATGCTTCAATTTGACTTATCCACTCTGTCTGTTTATCTCCATGTTTCTCACAATCTCCCACACTACAGTGTTGCCTGCTGTTCTCGACGATGCGACCAGATATAGTTGGTGAAAAAATGGAACCTCAGAGGTTATACGATTCTGTCAATGTCCTACTTTCCCTACAGGTGAGAACTTGCCTGCAGAAAGGATTGTGTCTGAAGTATTCTTATCCTGCACCCCCTAGTCATAGATATGAATTTAAAAGCTTGTGCTTTCCCGGCAGCAATTTGATCTAAATTTGTTTCACATGATTCTTTCACCCTACAGTTGCCACTCCTAATTGTTGCTTTAGTTTGAAGAATTTAATTAACTTTTAGCACTTCAACCCTTCTCTTTTCAAGTGCATTGCTCTTTTATATCTAAGTACTCATGAACTAATCACCATTTTTCGGATCATTGCAGAGTAAGAATGGTGGTTTAGCAGCCTGGGAACCAGCAGGAGCAGCAGAGTGGTTAGAAGTAAGAATTCTAACAAATTTGAGCCATGTTCTTGTGCAAATCTGTCAGATGAACAGAAATTAGTGCTCTTGAAATAATCATCAGCAGATACTTACTACATATTTTCCTCTTTTTTATTTCCCTCAGATGTTAAATCCCACAGAATTCTTCGCGGACATTGTGGTTGAGCACGAATATGTTGAATGCACTTCATCTGCAATTCAGGCTTTAGTTCTGTTTAAGAAGTTGTATCCCGGGCACAGGAAAAAAGAGATTGATCATTTCATTACCAATGCTACAGAGTACCTTGAAAACATACAAATGCCAGATGGTTCATGGTATGGAAATTGGGGAGTTTGCTTTACATATGGTAGCTGGTTTGCCCTTGGAGGGTTAGCGGCTGCCGGAAAGACTTTCAATAATTGTTTAACCGTGCGCAAAGGCGTTAACTTTCTACTCACGACACAAAGAGAGAACGGTGGCTGGGGAGAGAGCTATCTTTCATGTCCAAAAAAGGTAAGGTGTTGGAGGTGGATTGCATTTTAAGCAAGCTTCAAATTTCTTAAACAATCCCAATGTCTTACATGAAAATATTTCTCTCTTGCTGGTTGATACAGGAGTACGTTCCTCTCGAAGAAAACCGATCGAATTTAGTACACACTGCATGGGCTATGATGGGTCTGATTCAAGCTGGACAGGCAGAAAGAGATCCTGCACCTCTTCATCGTGCAGCAAAGTTGATTATCAATTCTCAAATGGAAAATGGAGATTTTCCCCAACAGGTATCTTTCTTAGCACAACATTACTTGCATTGCAATCTTAATTTTTACTTGTAACTTTTTTCTAACCATTAATCACTGAACTATGGCAGGAAATCACAGGAGTGTTCATGAAGAACTGCATGCTACATTATGCAGCTTATAGAAATATCTACCCTCTGTGGGCTCTTGCAGAGTACCGCAAGCGGGTTCCATTGCCTTCGGAAGCCTAAATCGCTAACCGTATTGTGTAGCTCATCCAACATAAAGGATTAAACATATATATAAGAGCCAATTGTTGAAAATCAATTTTATGAGGGTTCAGCTTGATGCTTAGTGAGAATATATGTCTTTTTCATGTCTTCATTCCTCTCATCTTCCGGATATTTTCCTTTCTCATTCACACAATCACGGTGGCATGAGGGTTCGAATTTTAAACTACTGGTCTGCAAGTTAATGCTATTTTTCACTGAATTTAGGCTCTTACGTTGACATATATTGTATTCCTTAATATTAAAAGACGTGTCAAATTCGATTTCTAAAAAATTATTAAACATGGTATCAAAGGCAAAGATATTATTGGGAAAATCACACCGACATCAACATATATATTGTACACCTGTTCAATTATTATTCCACCTAGGTCCTACATGCTTAGAAAACGTAAGACTTCTTTTATACCTTAGACTATTGTTCGCTTTGTTTTAGTCTGAGATTCAGAGATTGTGTTCTTTGTTTAAAAGTCCCTGCATTTTTCATACTTTTCATACTGCTTCCTATTTTAATGTATATATGCCTCAGTAATTGCGGGAAACTTTGATTAGGTGCCCATTGACCTCATGTAACTCTGTTCATATTTTTTTTGATAAAAAAGCGATAGCATTTTATTGATAAAATAATTAAAAACACGTGCAAAGCAACTAATGTATACAACTTCTTCCGTGAAAAATATTATAGAAAATTTGCCATAAGTCCAATTATGAGGAGAGACTTTGGGTGCAATCCACGCAGAAATTGTTGTTGATCCAAGTCCTTTGACTTTTGCACCACATAAGATTACATGCCTATTTCAATTTATTGATATTTACTTTTTTTTATTTTTTATTTTTTGTTCCAGTTATGCACCTAAAACATAAATAAGGTAAATTATGAATTCCTAAAACTGGTAAGTTATTGATTTGTAGGATATTAATTATCATATTTGATTTGAATTTAATTGCAAATCTATTTATTGAATTCTGAAATTTTCCCAAGGTATACCAACATCACAATTTGTAATAAGAGTTCATAAAAACTTCATACCTTAACAATAGGTAAGGTACCTATGCATACACCTCGTATGCAGTATGCATGTAATTAAATCCATAAATTACCTCTGGTCCAGGTAATTAAATCCATAAATTACCTCTAATCTAGGTAGTTATACCCTCTAACCCAGCTAATTAAACTCATATAATATCTTGGTATGGATCTTTAAACTCAACTAAGATAAAAATTCATACAAAATTTCTTTGGAAAAAAAAAAAAACACTATTACATGGAAGACATGTACATATGTATATAAATATGAACCTCCAGAAAAAACTGCTTAAGAAAACTCAAGAAAAAAACACTTACCTGTAAGGCAGGTACATATATACCTGTATGTATTAACATTATTTACCTGTATGTCAGTTACATAATTTAATGTGGGTGCTTGTCTGATAAATTGGTATAATATGTGAGTCTTTACTTTTTATTGATTAAATTGTATTTTATCTATATACTAGCCTCTCTGCACGCGCTTCCGCGCCTGCGAGAGGTTTTTTAAAATTTATTTTAGAATAAAAAAAGATAATGGGTAGTTGTGTTCCATAAAAATAGGATCCATTATCTAATTTTTCTTTTATTTTTAATTTTTTTAATATGAAAAAGTGTGGATTTACCATATTATCCTCATTTAATTAATAATTTCAATTCTTAATGATGGACCTAGATCTAAGAACCCCAAAATATTAAGATAGCTTTCTCCCAACTGGAGAATCTTTTTCCAAATTTATGTGCATATTCAAATGTTGCTAAGCCCCAAACATATGCATGTGATCTTTTCATATGATGATTTGATTTCATTAATGTGATGTATCAAGCTGATTCACTTGCTAAGAATTAATTCTTGAAGAATGTTGGCACCAAAATTGAACAGATAGAGATGAGTGCAACTTACAAGTGATATGGACGATCGAGAGATCGATTGAGTGTTGGATGCAGATTGTTCCTGTCCTCAGATGCTGATCCTGAATGGAAGGAAGACGAGACTTGTGAGGTCTATGAAACCGGTGTGGAACCAGCCTAAGACCCTCCGATGCCAAAGTAAGTTTGTTTTCTAAGAGCTTTCGTTGTTGACAATATATTACTATAAAAGTCAAGCTGAAAAGTCTTACCCCTGTATTGTAGTGAAGGGGCCTATTTATAGAGGGCATTTTGTATGCTCTTAGTACTTAATTTCACATCGGTTCCATAGACCTCACGAATCTCTTCCTTCTATTCAGGATCAGCATCTGAGGACAGGAAGAATCTGCATCCAACACTCAATCGATCTCTCGATCGTCCATATCACTTGTAAGTTGCACTCATCTCTATCTGTTCAGTTTTGGTGCCAACAAAGAAAAAAAGAGTGAAGTGAATACAAAGGAAGAAGCTTTTCACTATTAGAGATTTAATTATGTAAGATCCCACATCGACCAACGGAGGGGGGGTGATGTGCCTTATATGTACACACCCGCATCCATCTAGCACGAGGCCTTTTGGGAGCTCACTGACTTCGGAGTCGTAGGAACTTCGAAGTTAAGCGAGTTGGGGGCCAGAGCAATCCCAGGATGGGTGACCCACTGGGAAGTTGCTCGTGAGCTCCCAGAAACAAAACCGTGAGGGCAGAGAGGGGGGCCCAAAGCGAACAATATCGTGCCACGACGGAGCGATCCGGGTCATGTCAATTTGGTATCAGAGCCACTCTGCCGTGTGGTGCGAGTGTGCCGACGAGGACGTCGGGCCCTTAAGGGGGGTGGATTGTAAGATCCCACATCAACCAGCGGAGGGGGGTGATGTGTTAAGCGAGTTGGGGGCCAGAGTAATCCCAGGATGGGTGACCCACTGGGAAGTTGTTCGTGAGCTCCCAGAAACAAAACCGTGAGGGCAGAGAGGGGGGCCCAAAACAGACAATATCGTGCCACGACGGAGCGATCCGGGATGTGACAAATTATGTTGGTGAATTGTTAGTCAATATGGTCATTATATATGGATTACGGATAATCTTTCAATAAAACTCTTTTTGTACCTACCATCTCCACTAACTAAAAGTTCAACGCCATAATCTAATTGTAGAGATTCCGTGTACATTTGAGTCTTGAGATATGACTTACGATGTGATATCTCCACAAACTCAAATCAATGGCCAAAGAAAAAGACAAATTCAGATCATGCATTTCCCCCAAAACCATATGAACAAGCATTTTTATTAGCTTTCATTTTTAATTACTCTGTATTATACAAAAATCTTTCATAAAGATCGTAAGTCTAAAAATTAAAATAGAATAATGCCTTAAGTCTTATTGTATATAGAAGTTTTTGAAAATCCTCTGTATTGCTACCGAAATTGGGAGGCTCAAGTCATTGTGATAGTTTTTACCCATGTTTGCCGTAATATTGCATTTTCTTCATCCGTTTTAAAAGAAGGAATGCAAAATAAAATTTTTGAAATGCCAATTACAATTCTCGTTATTTTTCCAATAAAATGAAAAAACAACTCCCATTAAAAAAACTCGTGTATTTAATCTTTGATGCGCAAATATTATTATAATTTTGTGTCGCGTGGAAGTGACACTAATATTCAATCATTCTTGGGTGGACCGTGGATGGTGGAAGTGACGCACCCTACTCTAGAGGAGGGCTGAATTCACGACAATCGGAAACAATAAGAAAATGTTCTTACCAGAAAGTAAAATATATAATAAGAACTACATGGCAGAGTGGATGCTTGTTTAATTTCTCTAGATCTATAAATGTTATATATATATGTACAAATTTAGGAAGGAGATATGCATTATTCCTCTATCGAAGTATATTAAAGAATGATTAGTTGCTGATCATGAAAAACTACTCTCCCATGCATTGTACAAACATACACACACACACATATTATATATATATATATATATATATATATATATATATAAACTAGCTAGCTGGCCAACCCCACCTCTCTTTCATTCTTAGCTATATAACCAACCTCTACAATAAGGTTTTTGCAGCTTCTTCTTTGCAACCTCTACATACATTGCATGCATGAAACAGGTTCTTAGGTAGAACAGCAGTGGCAGCTATATATATATATATATATAATAATAATAAGAAAGAGATATTGATGAATGTGGAAGCTTAAGGTTGCAGACGGAGGGAATGACCCTTACATCTACAGCACAAACGACTTTGTGGGGAGGCAAATATTTGAGTTTGATCCTGAGGCAGGAACTCCTGAAGAGCGAGCCGAGGTGGACGAAGCTCATCTTAATTTCTACAATAATCGCTATCAGGTCAAGCCTAGTGGTGACCTCCTATGGCGTATGCAGGTATTTATCCACTTAATTTCATTAACTCGATCGTGTGTTATTTTCTTATAATTTGAAGTTGTCAAACAGTAATTTTAGATCACACGTGCATATAAAAATTAGTTTGACTAATATGATTTAAATTCAAAGTCTGATTACAAACAATATTGTTTATCTTATTTGGGTTATATTTTTTGCGATTTTGCGATTATCTTAATGACGAGAATTTTTTATATGTTCCGGGTACACCACGTGGCTGGTGTACCATCCAATAAACATAGGACATGTGGAATTATTGTCCAACTTACTACATTTCTTTTTATGACATATGGCGGGCTGCATTGGAAATATTCCATATGTCCTCCGTCTATTGGATGGTACACCAGCCACGTGGTATATCTGGAACACCCAAAAATTACTCCTTAATGACTGCCTTTCTAATCAACATATAAACGTGAGTTCTAGTTATGTACGGATTCCACACTATAGTAGAAAATTGATCGGTTGCTATTTTAGGAAGTTTTGAGCAGATAGACAAAATGATGATTATAAAGGTTTATCAGAAAAATAAATAAATAAATAAAAGATGATGCCTGAGAATTGACCCAAATCAAGAAATAAATAAATAGTGTTCCTTGAATCCACCATAAGAGACTCTAACAACCATCCCAACACTATCCTTCACGTCAACAAGGTAGACAAGAGACAACAAGAGAGTATGAATAGCGTCAAACCTTTTTAATTTTGATCTGTTTGTCTTGTTTTTAATTTTCAATTTTAATAATGTAGAGACGGAAATTCAAACTTAGAACCTCTTCAAATTTAAAAAAAAAAAAAGGAATATTACTAGACTAATAGTGACGTTTACACCTTTGAACTTTTGTTCTCTTT